TTCGCATTCTGAGGTTTGGTCAAGCTATAAACCCAGCACTACATTGGGTTGGATTTACTCTCCTGGATTGGAAGACCAGTCTCCCAAACCATTTTGCCATCTTTTTTCTTTTTAATTGCCATTGCTAAAAAGACGAGAGAGAAGGTGGACAACCATTTAACCATACACTCCCTCCATCATTTTTTGAAGAATTAAAAATTTAAAAATATAAAACATTTTAAATTTTTTAAAATATAATCATTATCTTTTTTAAAAAAGCATTCTATTAAATAATATTTAATCGAGGTAAATATAAAAAGATAAGATTAATTAAAAGATAAATAACTATTTTATTAAGAAGTAAAATTTAAATGAAGGGAGTACATGTTTACGCAATCAAATTCATGGAAGAACCAAAATAAAAAAATCAGTTAAAATTTATTAAAACGTGTAAGTTAGTTGAAATTTGTTTAAATTTAAATATAGATAATGCATTGGGAGCTACCCCTATTAATAACACATTAATGTGCGCAACTAATAGGGATGGCTTGAGAAAAAAAATAATAACTGCTAGAAATAAATGAAATTAAGATTTTATATCGACATTCAAAACAAACTTGTTAACTAATTCTTCTTACCTATAATCCTATATAAAACCCGAACATATAATTTATATATTTTGATGTCACATCACAATACCAAAAGGAAGAGCATATCGTATTCTGTCCAGCATGCAAGCATAGTAATAACAAGCGCAAGTGACAACATAGAAAATTACAGATTGGAAGCATGTGGTGGTGTGTGTGTGTGTGGTGGTGGTCGTGCGCGCGCGCGCGCGATCTCTGATAACTTTGTTTGGGTTACCTGCTTTTGGGTGTACCACACTTCCAATGGAATAATAAATAATGTGGAGCAACAGTCACATGCACAGTGCCTATTCCCATCTTCCTTTTTCCCCCCTTTTTAATTGGTTAGAATTGGATCTTCTTTGACACTACTACACAAATAATTTCTCCCAGACATTTCAAAACTGAAATTAATTCTCTGAGCTAACGTCCAGTAAAAATAACGTGCTATTATTGAGAAAAAATACTCCTTCCTTAAATATTTTTTAAGAAGTTTGATGGTAAAAAATATAAAATATTTTTAATCTTTATAACTATTATTTTTTTTTCAAAAACACCTCTATTGATAAATGTCTTTATTTTTATTATAGGGTATTTAATATGAGTAAATATAAAAAATAAAGTTAGTTTGAAAGGAGGTAGCTACTTTATTAAAGGTTGAGATTCAATTAAAAATGCTTTATATTTTTAACTAAGGGAGTAAAAAAATAATTTAGAAAAATAAAAAAGGCATATTTCTATTTTTTAAATAATATTTTTACATGTTAAACATTGCATAAAATATGTATTAAAATCCACTCTCTCTGATTGTATTTATAGGACAGATAGAGAAGATTTTTCTGATCTCATTTATAAATTATTTCATTAAATTTTTATTATAAATTTTTTCTTTTGACTTCCATTAAATGTTGGAGAAAGAAAATATATTATTAATATATATATATATATATATAATAAGGATAAAATTAAAAAATTATTAAATTTTTAGACAGAGCTAATGAGTTTTAAAATTTTTTTAGTTATGGTGAAACATATTGAAAGTCTTTTATAAATAGAATTAGAGGAGTAGTCTTTATCATTACTTTAATAAATTTTAGACTGTATTTATATTAAATATACTGAAATTTATTTTACCAATATTTAATGAGAGTTACAAAAATTTTGCAACATAAATTTTATGATCCCACTTATCAATAGAATTAAAATTCTTTCTCTATTTATTTTATAAATAGGATCTAAGGCCGTATGTATATAACTATATATATATATATATATATATTATAAATTCTATGTCATGAATGAAGGTGCGTATGGAGATTGGAGAGCGTCATTTGGAGAAGAATAATTGAGCGAGAAAGATTAGTCTTAGGGTTGACAGTTGTAAAATATTTGGGAGAGATTTTTTTGTTTTTTAAATTGTCCACCGACCATCATCTCCCATAACTTAAAAAAAGATAAAAAGGGAAGAAATGATTACTGAGAATCCGAAGTGAATGTTGAAATGCATTCCTTTACTAAAGACACTCCGTATCAGTCCATATTGGATTAAGCATTTTAGCACACAAGACAATATAGGATTCACGATGCTCCCCGTCAACTTATGGGGCTGTCTCATAGTTCAATCCCTGGAATTACTATTAATTATTAATTAATTTATTGATTGATTAATAATTAATAATATAGTACTCAGGCGAGAAATTTGAGAATGATTAATAATAATATTATTATTATTTACATCATTGACCACATTATGCACAAATCTTCATGCACCAACCCATTAGCTAGGGGCTGCCTTTATGCTTCCAAACTCATTATTGCATAAATTATACCAATATCGGGTGTCCACATGCAATTCTTTTTTTTGATACAAAGTGTTCACATGCATTTATCCTCTGCCATTTCTTCAATTTTTTTTTTTTTTGGCTGTGTAACAGTGTACTATGTCCTTGAATGAATAGAGTGGAATGTATGTCTTTGGTTTGATTTTTCTCATGCATTTTATTATTATTTTTATTTTGAATAACTTAAAAAATAATTGATACTCCTTACTATTTGTAATATATGAAAAAATTTTTTCTTTTGTTCTTAACATAATACTAAGTTAGAGTAATTAATATTTTTTAATTTTACCTCTTATTTATTTATCTATTATGTTTTGAATTTCTAAATAATAATTTATTGTGATTATTAAAGTTTGGATGATGATAGAGCAAAATGATGTCATACAATCTATTAACCAATTTATTTAATGGAATACAACTTATTGTAATAGCAGTAGTATTAATTGTAAAAGTAGGGTAAAAATGAAAAGTTACATATTTTTTATGATATTAAAACAAATTTTATTTTTTATGTAATTACTTGGTATCTAACACGGCCAAATATTCCAAATTTGGGCATCATTTGGCTTAAACAAGGGATAGTTTTTCTCAAAAAATTTTTAGTTACCATTAGTATAAGTTACATGACCTTAATTGTAAATTTCCCTATTGATTATATCTATTTATTATGGTCACGGTCACCTATGTCAATTTTTATTTCTTTTTGAAAAAAAAGGAAGGATAATAATTGGTGTTGGATTTATATATCTACATCCTTAGCACGATCTCTAACTTTTTTAATTTTAACACTAACTTCAGTGAACCATCTCTATCCTTAATAATGTCAACTTTCTTTAAACTTGATAATAGAAAGAAAACAATAGTCTTTTCTTTTCTATCTTTATTGTTCTTCTTTTTATTCCTTTATTTTTTCTTTTATTTCATGCGGGAGAAAAATTGTGCATTGTGTGAAGTTCCTTTCAAATGTCAATGCATGTGTGAAAATGACATATAACTAAAATTCAAATTAATTGATTGCAAGATAAATTTTTTCAAGGACCACACCCACCTATAAAAATTATATAGACATTTATTTATTCACGGTGTAATGAATGAATGGTGGACCAGTCAAGCTAATTCAGCATTCAAAATAAAATGTCTGGGCACTGCAATGAGTATGAGATTTTGCGTCCAGTATTTAAGATTAACTTTAAAATGATTAACCATTAAATAATTACACAATGATTTAGTATGTGATTTTGCAGTTTGACTTGGCTTATATTTGGACTACTCAGAATTTAATCTGATTTTAGATACGAGATGATTTTTTTTAAAAGAAATAAACAGTGTATATATTTTGAGTAGTTTGTTATATTAAAAAGTAATACTCCCTTCATTAATAAATGTAAGATATTTTTTAAGAAGTTAAATATTAAGAAATGTAAGACATTTTTAGTCTTTTGAGATGTAGTTATTGTCTTTTTTTTCAAAAGTGCCCCTATTGATAATGACTTTATATTTATTGTAGGGTGTTTAATATGGATAAATATGAAAAGATAATGTTAGTTGAAAAGTAGGTAACTATTTTATTAGAGGGTGAGATTCGATTAAAAATGCTTTATATTTTTGAACGGAGATAGTATATAGTTTGGCTTGGCTTATATAACAAGTAAAAAGTTATATTTTTTATATAAGTAAAATCATATATTTCAATAAACATTTATTATATATTTTTAAATCATTCCTCATAATTTATATTAATGAAAAATTAATATATGCTTGTGTTGATTAACATAAGGCATTTTAGACCAACTTTTTTATTTTCAAATATAATTATTATAAATTAACTAATTTTTTTAAATTGTATGATATAATTTTTTTTTCTTATATATAGAAATGGAGGGAATATATATGACACTTTGTAATAATTAAATTATTTTTTTAATTTTACCTCTTTTTGATTAGTGTGAAGATAGTTAATGTAGTTATATTTATCATTTAAAATTAATGATAAAAAAAAAAATACATATCACTTTTATAATATAAAAAAATTAACTTTTTTAAAGATGCATAAAATGGTTGAAAGTGTTTTAAGATAAGGATTGGAGGGAGTACAAATTAACTTTTGCTAAAAAAAAATCAAAACATTAGTTAGAAAACTATGTTATAAAAATAAAAAAAAGTCTTAACGTTGAACAAATATAGATCAGGATGTTGAATTTGGCAAGTGAACCTTGACTCCTCTTCAATTTTTTTTTTAACTTTATTTTCACTTCTCATCTTATTCTTTGAATCAAACAGTTAAAATTTAACATTTTATAAAATTAAAATTAAGATTTTTAATAATAACAAGGGGAAAGAAGCCGTCACTATATTTTCTTTTCTCTCCTATGCCCTCTCTCTTCACTCTCCAGTCTCCACCCAGACGTCGCTACAATTTTTTTCCCCGTTAAAACTAAAATTAAAAAGAAGCGAAACAATAGATAATAAACTAACAATAATTATAATAAATATATTAGTATTAGTATTTAGTAGTATTATATAGTCGCCACCATTAAAATAAAACTGCAGTTCACAACATTCACAACAAGAAGTCCAACTGCTCCTCCAACTCTCTTTCGGAGTCTTCCCTTTCAGACTATTAACTATCAAAACCTGTTTTTTTGTCAGCCGATTTTCTCCCTTGCAATTACCCAACATAGTTTTCCCATGGCCGACGGCGATAACAGCTTCTGGTCGGAGAACTGACGCCTCCGGCATGTCTGACAACGACCCTGTCTTCGAGACTTTCCGAGCTCTGGTGGAGAGCGCGGACCGTAAGTTCGCTAGGGTTCGCGACGTGCCTGCCTATGGGCGTGTTAGCCAGAACCACTTCTATCAGAAGGTTTTCAGGGCATACACGCGGCTTTGGAAGTACCAGCAGGAGAACCGCTCCAAACTGGTTCAGTGCGGTCTAAAACGCTGGGAAGTCGGCGAGATCGCTAGCCGAATCGGTCAGCTTTACTTCGGCCAGTACATGAGGACTAGTGAGTGCAGGTACTTGGTTGAAGCATATGTGTTCTATGAAGCGATACTCAATAGAAGGTATTTTGAAGGATCCGAAGGTTCGCCAAAAGATCCGGGAATCAGATTCAAGGAATTGAGGTTTTATGCGCGGTTTTTGTTGGTGTCGGTGATTTTAAACAGACCGGAGATGGTGAAGCATCTCATGGACCGTTTCATGGCTTTGCTTGACGATTGTAAGAGCAACTGCCGGGTAAACATGATTTCTTTTTTCTTCTTTCTTTCTTTTTTAAATTTCAGGTAAACAGCTATAACGCTTAGAGTAGTGAATTGCTGGAAGTGGCACTTGTTACCCCTTTCCTTTCATAGGTTTTTTCCTTCAAAGTTGGTGTGCTGTTTTGTTATGAAGCTGCTCTGTTTGTATCAATCACTTCCCGGTCTTCCTATTAGAAGAAATAAGTTTCTTTTGAGGGGTATGAAGAAAATAATAATATCTCCTATTGTTGATGTATTGGGCTACACAATTTTTGTTCAATTACATATAAAATTACTAATTTTCCCCTATAATCAGCATTGGAACTCCTGAAAGTCTTAATTGATCAGGATGTGTTTGCCGTTAAATTTGAACCGAGTGGACGTTGTCCTTGAATGGAATTTGATAGAGCAGATCAGGTTTATAAACTGAGTCACTTATGGGAATGAAAAAATAGATTAGGTACCAGAGATTGCATCACGTGGTTCGGGACTAGATTCCTTAATCAAAGTCTTCGCTCTAAATTTTGTGAATGGAAAAAATTGCCGCCGGAAAAACTTTACACTTATAGATGCAGCATGGGTTTTGGGAACTGAATGCTACTCACAAAAAAAGGAAAAAAGGATAAAATAATGGATAATAATTTTTAAGCTGAGTTCTTCATTACTGCGTCTAAAAAATATCTGTGATTCTTTATAATGTGTCTGATTATTTTCATGGGTATAATCTTTAATTTCTTTCTTGGTTATATCAATTTTATATGAAGGAAACTGGTGGTGTTATAAATAGGCCAGATCAATGTTGTCGGATCTACTCAATTTTACTTTGCTAATGAACACCAAATGGTGTTAACTTCGAAGAAAGTAGTCCTTGGTTCTAGACCTGATGCAATTTCGCTTTTTTCCCCGGATGTTGGGGTGGGTGGGGGGTGACCTGATTCAATGCCTGAAATATCTCATTCGAATAGAAACTCCTGTATGGTATATTTTTAGTGGGGGATATTACCAAGTTTTCCAAACTAAAAGTGGCAGTCTGTGGATGTACATGCAAACCAGTTTTTCTTATCATACTGATAACTAATGGTGTGTTTAACTTTCTAGATTTGTAAAACTGTAAGATAAACTTATTTTGGTCTGAAACTTTAGTCATCCTTTGAAAGCTCTGCTGCAGGTATTTCTTATTTCCAAATCTATCGCACAGCATGATGGACATGCTTAATCATTATTTTCTCCAATTCAAAATCAGAAGTTCTGCATTTTGATCCGTTATTTTTTCTATTTTCCCATACATGCTTCATTGTTAATATTAAAATTAAAGTTTTCCCGATTTATATAAAACATCCAGAATACTGTAGTACTATATACATAGTTTTTCCCCTTTTGATCCAATGAATGAAAGGTACGCATTGCATCTGTAATTTGATGAATGTGATCTACTACTTTTCAGGAAACTAACTTAAAGGAATGGAGGCAAGTGGTGCAAGAAATTGTCCGATTTACAAAAGCAGAGAACGGCTTTGCTATCAGGCCTCTACGTTATTGTGCCATAACTGATACTCACCAGGCTTCTCTTCCATATGTAGCTCGTTTTCATGCAAAGAGGGTTTTAAAATTCCGGGATGCCCTTTTGACAAGCTATCATCGGAATGAGGTTAGTTAATGCTAGTTCATGTCACCAGTGTGGTTCTCAAATTATGGTAGCTAAATTACCTATAATTGATGGAGGGTCATATGTTCTTATTTTCAGGTCAAATTTGCTGAGCTTACATTAGACACCTACAGAATGATGCAATGTTTAGAATGGGAGCCTAGTGGATCCTTCTACCAAAAGCCTATTGTTAAACCAATTGAGAATGGGGACTCCGTTGATCATTCAGGAACTTCTGGGTTAATAAACATGAACCTAGCTGCAGATGTGACTGATCCAAATGTGCCTCCTAATGCAAGAAAGGCTGTTCTTTATCGTCCATCTGTAACACATCTGATAGCTGTGAGTTTTCAATCTTGTTACATAGCCACTGTAATAATGCTATTCAGTTTCTAGGGGTCAAGCAAGTAGCATTTTTGCTTCATGAATTGGGAGAGATTTTTCATTACATGCTTATTTCCCCATGACTTGATATTCTGATATGCCTATTCCTTACTCTTTGTTTTTAATGTATTTCATTGATTTACTATACAGTTTTATCTCATAAGTGTGTTTTACTTCCTCAATGTAGGAGTGCCTAAACTAAGAATCACTTTTTAACTAGTTAAAATGGAGTCAATTATGTCTTCCTGATGTACAATCTGTCACATGATGTTGAATAAATAATTAGTCTGATATTGAGCTTCATGATGCTATGCAGGTTATGGCGGCAATTTGTGAGGAACTGCCACCAGATAGTGTGGTGCTTGTATATCTATCAGCCTCAGGTTATTTGATTTTTTTAAGTGTGGAAAAAAATTCAATCTATTGGTCTTGTTATGCTATGTTAGTCACCTTGTTTATCGCTTACACAGGGAAGGCTGGTTATAATAATGCCCATCAGTTGGAGAATTCTGGAGGGTCATTGAAACATTCTAGGCACAAAGTCCTTTCTCAGACTTCCCAAGAGCTGAGTAGTGATTCTCAAATCAATGGCAAGAGAGAATCCAACTCCTATTATGACAACCATCTGTGGTTTGGTCCCAAGGGCAGCGAAGGTGGGTCTCTGCAGTGGGTTTCTTCTCCACTGTATTTCTGTTGAGAGCGTTTGTTCCAAGTCCATTTACAAGATTTATTTTTAATAATCTTGATTTATGTTGCAGAAGAAACCTGCACTGTTGTCATCTCCACTTACTTCTTCTTTCTTGAATTATCAGGTTCAAACAATCTTTACCCTGGCGATCTTATTCCTTTCACCCGCAAACCTCTTTTCTTCATTGTTGATAGTGATAACAGCCATGCATTCAAGGCAGGTTTGTCAAAACTTGTGCAAGACTTGCTGGGGGAATTTGTTGGGTTGTGCCGTTCTCTATATTTCTTGAATCTGATTTTTGATTTTTCAAAAGGGCAAGAAATTTGTAGTTATTCCGTTTTCTGCATGATCAGGTTTTGTCTTAGCATTTCAAGATGATTTCTGAGACACTAAGTTTTGAAAACCCTGCACGTTGGAGGAGCCAAATAGACAGATCCTTAAATTAGTAAATGTTTTTGTCTAAATTCCTGGCTAATTTATAACTGCCAGAATGTCAAAGAAGCATCTTTCCGGATTAGGGATGAGGGATGCTTTTGACATTATTTTCTTGGTGGAGCTAGCACATCATAAGTTAGACTATTGTGTGTGTGTGTGTGTTACCAGCATGTTGAGTCGTAAGGAATTGTTGGTCCTTTGTGTATTTCTGAAGGAGAATGCTATACACAGAGTTATCCTAATAGACATAATTGATTGCAGGTTTTGCGTGGTGCTGAAAGGGGGGAGACAGCTGCTCTGTTTCTTTCACCTTTAATGCCAGTTTTCAAGAATCCAGCTGATGTGAATTTACATAATGGAAGCCAGTTTACCTTCTTCTTGACCGCTCCTTTGTCAGCATTTTGCCAGATGGTAGGCCTGTCTCCCAGTGAGGTTGACAAGGTTGGTTGATCTGAATAGTCCTTGATGTGTCTTAGTGCACCTTGATTCTTGGCATACTTATTGTGTGTTTAACATCAGGATGTCTACAACCAAGCGGAGAACATTCTTGCCAACGCCTTTGCTGAGTGGGAAATAATTCTGTGCTCAGCAACTACTAGCTTGGATTTAGTATGGGCTCAAATTATAACTGATCCATTTTTGCGGCGGCTTATTTTAAGGTGTTTTGGTCTTTAAGTTTCTGGTGGATTAATAGATATTTTTGTTTTGAATTTTGCAAATGACTTCAATTTTGACTATCTAATGTGCTGGCGAACTGATCAGACTTGGTCGTGTGATGTGTGATATTTCCAGATTCATTTTCTGCCGGTCAGTGATCTCTTTTTTCTGCCCGCTTGAGGAAAGCGATCAGTATCTGCCGCTTTGCTTGCCTCACTTGCCCACAGCCGTTGCACCGGGTTCTGGAGCTGTACGTTCTGCCGTCGTTCAAATTGCTACACACTTTGAAGTGGCTGATTCCTTTCGCTTTAGTAATGCCTAAGATGAGGAAGCTTAAGTTGAAAAAAAAATAAAATCATGCTTTGGGCAGGGGAGCCAAGGATATTCACTTTGACAGGGAAAATTGATAAAAATACAGATGGACTTGTTTAGTCCTCATCACAAGAAATTCTTGGTGGGGCTCTGGTTGGCACTATGCAGACCAAATTTTCGGCCGTGGTTGACTCTGCATGTTCTATTGCCTCGATTCAAGTTCAACTTCTCTGCTTCATTCGTCTATACTGTATTTGGTGGTGGTTTATACTTTTATTGTTATAGTTGGCATTGGGTCGGTGCCTGATGAGCTATTTTTCGTGTCTGGGCGTGGCAAGCTGATATTTAGTTTCGAATTAGTTTTATATTATGTATCTGTTCATATAAATGTAAAAGAAGAGTCAGGAAAGTTTTATTTGCCCCCCTTTTTGAGCAGAATCGGACAGCATTGAAACAACATTGAAGGAGGAAAGAAATGTATTCCAGTATGAATTTCACCATGGCACTGGATGATAAAAGATGATGTACATTATTTTGATCTGTCTGTTTATTTTGATATCTATTTTCATTTGAAGAATTCATTATAAGGTTGCGCAATTTAAAGCCAATATATGAGTTGTGTATGGAATCTTAAAAGTGAATACGATAGCTTAATTTCAAAACAATCCTCACAATCAAAGTAGTTTTTAAATATATTGTTTTCTTCAAAAGCCTGAGATTTGATATTTTTTGAGTATTATGTGACAAAATTATTTTTAGCTGTTTGATTAAATTAAATAATTGCTGTCGCTCTACTCATTAAGTGATTGGGTTCGTTTAGGTATTGGGTTATTTCTATCCCTCTTATATTTTACCAGCTTATCAGTCTACTATTTCATAATATTTATTTAGGCGAGAACCGAGCTTAAAATAATGAGAAATTTTTGTATAAAAAAGATTTAGGTCTAATTCTTATAAACCCTTTAAAAATTGGTTCAAGTTTACTAGCCATTTCAGGCACTATATTTTTCTCTCTCTCTCTTTTTTTCTCTAGTCAGCATATGGTTAAGATTGTTAAAAATTGTTTAGTTAAAATTGTTAATATTGCAAAATAACACGTTTGAAATTATTTGGCTTATTTTAATTTTTGAATTAATAAATGAAAATTCCAAGCAAAAAATAATAAATGAAAATGACTCAACTCGGTAAATTGTGTGTATTGTATTTTTATTTTGGGATATGCATTATTTTGATTATATGGTGTAGCTTATTATTGTTCTTTAAACATTGAAATGAGGTCCTCACCTCATAAAGCTTTTATATGAATTAGCATAACTAGAAAATAAAAATAAAAATTATGCGGGTTTTTAAGCTTGACCTTGAGTTGATAAAAGCTGCACTTGAGAAAAAAAAATGATAAATTTAGACTTGAAATAAGTGAACTTATGAACTTAAATCTTTTAAGGGTCAGGGCATTATTTGTTGACAATTCTAACAGGATTTGAATGGCGAATGCCAAATATAGACTACATGCATGGACTGAGACACTGGTTTATTGAAGTTTGAAGACTCCTATCTCAAAAGACTTATAATTTCTAAGTGGTATATGATGAAAGATTTCAAGGTTTTTTCTTTTGTGATTTCCTTTACTTTGTCTGCAACTGTACTTTTCTATTATCAACAGATTCCTCTCTTAAAAAAGAATTCAGAATCAGACGTCAGTCTATTAGTTAAAAAAAAAAAAAATTCAGATCGATTCAACGCGCTTTTTCCTTTTTGGGCTTATAGACCTCATGTTTTAGCCCAAGAAAGAAAAAGTCCATTATGCCCTTGGAGTCATGCGCTGGAAAAAAATTCTTGAGTTCTTGCCCCAGAGGCGCCCACAATAATTTACCCTAATTAAAAAGTCAAAGCAGCCGTTAATTATTCAACGCTACTTGCTTCTCACGCGTTTTATGTAGCAAGAGACGCGATTATAATTATAATTATAAATATAATATATTTTTGCCAATTCTAAAAGTGTCTATGGAAGTTGGAAGCAACCAATGGGGAGCGAGCAATAATAAATCATGATCCGTGTCTTATCTCTTTAATGAAATCGCAGCCGTCTATTTAACTCTAGAAAACACAGAAAAGCACTGTAGCAACCGTCCGATTCTTCATAAAGAAACACACGGATACTGGTTTCTAACCGTCCGATCATTCATTGGTCCTCGTCACAACACGCTATTTATAGCCCGTCAGTATGGAGCCGTTCGGAACTTTTTGATTCTTCTCAATCAGATTTAGCGAAGGATTCAGGAAGGAAGGGAGAGAGAGAAGACGCTTGCACGAGGTGAGATTGCATCTAGGATTGAGGAAGTTTTAGGGTTCAAGGTTAAATTTGTTTTGGCAACAGTTTTAGGAGTTCTTTTTCTTGGATAGTATAATTAAGTAGCTCAATTCTGGAATTGCGTTGAAATCCGCGTACGAATCTTGAGTAGTTTAGATACATTGGTTGAACGGTGATGTTTTCTTCGCTGAATCGCTTATCTTCTTGTTACTTTCTCGTATATGTCCCTTGGAATTGCGCGGATATCTTGCGTAATTATATTCATTTGCACTGCAATAGGATTCATCTCACAGATATGTATAATTTCGCTGGCAAAAGGGAGAGATGTCATTAATCAAGCATGAAAATTTAATGAGATCAGTATTGCAAATTTTGTATTCTGTGATTTTGTTGACGTGTTTGTGTTTGATGCGGACTTACGATTTCTTGTGTCTATGCGTTCTTGTGATTTCGTCCATTACTTTTCGTTCTCTTCCTTCTCCTCTCGTATAGCTTAAAATCATGCGAAGCATAATTTGTTTTGTGGCTGGGCTTCCTAATTTCCCTAATGGTTGGGATTCTTTGCGTTCTTTGCCGTATTGACGTTTTTCTGTCGGGTTAGGTGAAATAGTTTTTGTTGGTATTTAATTTAGTTGGATAATTTGTTGTCTGTGTGTTATACAGATGGCCCGTACTAAGCAAACTGCTCGTAAGTCTACCGGTGGTAAGGCACCCAGGAAGCAACTCGCCACTAAGGTTTGATTACATCAGTATTACCATTTAGAAATTTCCTTTTCCAGTAGGTTTTCGTGTTGTGTTACAACCTGCTTATTCCATGTGTTCATCATGGTTTTAGGCTGCTCGTAAGTCTGCACCAACCACTGGTGGTGTCAAGAAGCCTCACCGTTATCGTCCTGGAACAGTTGCTCTTCGGTGAGTTCAGAGAATTTTTGTTTGGTTATGGCGTTTTATTTTTAGTTTGGTATTTTAACTGGACTGACTATCGTGCTTTTTGTGATGACAGTGAGATTAGGAAATACCAGAAAAGTACTGAGCTCTTGATTAGGAAACTCCCTTTCCAGAGGCTTGTTCGTGAAATTGCTCAAGACTTCAAAGTATCGTGTGACTATTTCTTGTTAGCATTCCTTGTTTAATACATAGCTGGTCCTCATGGAAGATATTGACAGTGATTGGTTTTTTGATGGCAGACTGACCTCCGTTTCCAGAGCCATGCTGTTCTTGCATTGCAAGAAGCCGCTGAGGCATACTTGGTGGGACTGTTCGAAGACACTAACCTCTGTGCAATTCACGCCAAACGAGTCACAATTATGCCGAAGGATATTCAACTGGCTAGGAGGATTCGTGGGGAGCGTGCTTGAATTGTTTTACTTGTCGTTGGGAAGTTAGGATGGCTGCTAGATAGTGTTTATTTGTCAGTTCTATTTGATTGAAACAAATTTCTGTTCCTAAGGCATTTACTGGCCGGTTAGATGATGAATTGTGATAGGCAAGTATTGTGAAAAAAATATACAGCGGTTAAAGGATGTGTTTTGTGTAATGTGGTTAGAATATGGTAGAGGTGCTACAACTGGACTTTCTAGTTCTTAATTATGTGTGCAGCCACGCTAAATTTGATTTGGTTAACATTTTGTTGCCATCTAATCTTTTAGTGTAGCTTTTTCAAGAACGGGTTTTCGCGCGCGTTATTAATTCTTTTGGACAATTCTTGGTTGGATTGGTTCTAATGTGTACATGGTGGTTTCTAATATGTACATCATGAACAAGCTGCGCGAACTTGTATTTCTGGATGAAGAACGTTTTATGATGAGCAGCCCTTAAATGTGTACTAGGGTGTACCAACTTGTGTTATAAGCGTTGGCAACTCTTTGAGTTTCCATTGGAATCGGGAAATAGTATGGAAAATAACACCGAGTGAGAATAATTAGTTTGTATCTCTCTCAATTTCTACGGTTATTTACTTGGTAAATTAAAGAAAGCCAATGAAGGTAATGTTTGTGGGGGCTGGCTTATTTATCAATAACCACGGTGTCATGCTACAAAATGTATGAAAGTGTGTAGTGACTTTGCTGGCTAGAGGGTGCTCTGGTTTTACTCTTTCCTGAATTGGAAAAGGTTAACATCTTATGCATTGTTATGGGGTAATATTAATTTATTTTAGCTGAAATGAATGCAAACATATAGAATTTATTTGATGTTATATATTATTTTCATTTCAAATTATAAAACACTGTTAAAGAAATTTTAAATAAATTAATATTTTATTAAATGTATTAATTTTAATATTATTTTTTTATAATTAATGTTGGTTTTTCTTTTCAATATATTAAATGAGGGTATTTTTAAAAATTTATATTTTTATTTTAAAAAGATAAGGTTAATAAGTGTATTTAATGAGATTTATTGATATGTGAGATTTTATTTAAAAATATTTGATAATTTAGAATGGAGAGAGTATAATTTAATCCAGAAACTCTCTTTTGCAATGATCTGAATCCCCATACAGGTGGTCTGTTGCATTTTTTCAATACAAAAGTTTAGGTTAGTTGTGTTTTGAAGTTCATTAGAATGAGAACATGTTTACAACAAACCAGTATCCTGATTTGATTGGCAAATATAAGCTTCACGCAATTATTTGGGCCACACTTGTTAACCAAGAAAGGAAAATAAGAGCGCTGAGACAGCATTGCAGCAAGTACGGAGAGGAATATGCTATAAATTCCTCAGAGTAGGAGACTCGAAGGCGCCTCCAATAAACACGATTGATATCCGTCTCATTAATGTTAACAAGATTATGTTTTTCGGAAAAAAATATATTACATGATTATGTTTATGAAAAGATCATTATTGTATAGATTTCATACAAAGCTGCACATTTTATAAATCATAAATAGTATTTGCAATCTTATCAATAAATTATAGGAGTTACACTAGTTTTCTTTAATTAAAATCATTCTAATTGCTAATTACTATTACTACTATTTTATAGCTAGAGTTATTCTGAGGCAGTGAATATTATCTCTTCATAACGATTAATCAATTACAAGACTAAAGTTTGAATTCTTGTTAAGATAGGTGCTTACATTTGGTGTTCAACCATGTTTTAAATTGAATTATTCTATTCAATAAAAAAAATTACATTATCTCTTCATCATGATCAATCAATAGTTTTTATTACAAAAAATAAACGCATCGCCCAAAGTAGACTATTAATCAAGTTAGAGAATAGAGTTGATATTGGTATATTTATAATTTATGAATTTATGAATTATGACTACTACGACTTTGTTGGAAAAAAAAAAAGACTTAGTATGATTTTCAATTAATTAATGCTATTTGAGGGCGAACAAATTAATTTATATTGTATATATTTGGGCATTATTTGCCGCCGATTTTAAGTTCTATAATGTAAACAAACTATAAAGATATAACAGACATATATATATGTGTGTGTATCTGTGTGTGTGTCTATTGATAATGATAATTGATAATGTAGACGCAGATAAATATGGTGAAAAAAAAAGATGAAAATAAATATACACAATAAAGATATAATGCACAGAAAATAAAATGACAATTTTGCCGGTTCTAAAATGCGTCAGTGGGAGCAGCCAATAGGAAGAGACGAATCATAAATCCGGATCCGCGTCTTCTGTCTTTCATGAAATCGCAACCGTAAATTTGGCTCAAGAAAACACAGAGAAGCACTGTAGCAACCGTCCGATTTTTGAAAAATAAACACACGGATAATGATTTCTATCCGTCCGATCCTTCCGTCGCCCTTGTTAACACGCTATTAATAGCCCATCGTTAGTTGCCCGTTAGAAACTTTTGATTCTTCTCAGACCAACTCGGCGAAAGAAGGTAGAAAGGAAGAGAGAGGTTAGCGCGCTCGAGGTATGGTTTCTTCTGAGATTTAGGAAATTAGGGTTTAGTTTAAACATTGGTATTGGCTATAATCTTGACTTCTTTTTCTCAATTGAAGTTTTGTAACCTTAATTTGGGATTACGTTGAGGAAACCCGCGTACGTATCTCGCGTAGGTTAGCTGAGTTGTTTCTCCAGTCGCTTCTCATTCCATTGTCTTCTTTGTTGATGTTCCTTGAAATTTTGTGGGTTTACTGGGTGGTTCTGGTCGTTGATTCGGCAATGAGATCCTTGTTATTAAAATTGTATTCGGTAATTGGGCACACGGGTTTTTGTTTGATTTAGACTTGCGATTGCTTGGGCCCGTGCCTTGTTTTGGTTTCGCTTTTTCTTTGCCTTCTCTTCTCTTCTAGTAGTGCTTCAATCATGTGGTACCTCGATCATTTGTTCTTAGGATGGGCTTCAACTTTTCTAAATGGTTGTGGTTTCTTTCCTGTGTTGACATCCTCTTTTGTTGAATGGAATATTGGCTCCTTACTAATATGGTTTTTGTTGGTATTCATGGCTCATAGTTTAATAATTTTATAATATTATGTCTCCATTTTATGTAGATGGCCCGTACGAAGCAAACTGCTCGCAAGTCAACCGGTGGAAAGGCGCCTAGGAAGCAACTTGCTACCAAGGTTTTTTTTTTTTCGTCGTCGTTGTTATTACGCTTATTATTATTATATATTTTCGGCAATTTTATAGGTTGGTTTACATCTAACTTTCTCGTGTGTTTATTATATGGTTACAGGCAGCTCGTAAGTCGGCCCCAACCACTGGTGGTGTCAAGAAGCCTCACCGTTATCGCCCTGGAACAGTTGCCCTTCGGTGAGTTCGTGTGTCATCTACATATACATATTGTGTGAAGCCATGATTATCATTGTTGACTTTTTGGTTGTTTGTATGTTTCTGACGATTATTCTTTTGTTGTGATGACAGTGAGATTCGGAAGTACCAGAAAAGTACTGAGCTCTTGATCAGGAAACTTCCTTTCCAGAGGCTAGTCCGTGAAATTGCTCAGGACTTCAAGGTATTTTGAATGTCTTCTTAGAATTCTTCTTAAGTGTTGCTTCTTCATGAAAGGTATTTACTATACCTTGTGCTGTGACTGCAGACTGACCTTCGTTTCCAGAGCCATGCTGTGCTTGCATTGCAAGAAGCAGCTGAGGCATACCTGGTTGGACTTTTTGAGGACACTAACCTTTGTGCCATCCATGCCAAACGTGTCACAATTATGCCTAAGGATATCCAGCTCGCTAGAAGGATTCGTGGTGAACGTGCTTGAGTTGTCCTGCATGTTGTAGGGTGGCTGCTCTCATGTGTTTATTATTCAGTTTTATTTGATTTGTGAAACAAATTTTAGTTGTGCCTTCTGAAGGTACTTCATTGTCTGGTAGGTTAATTATGATAGGCAAATACTATGAACATATGCCGTTTAAAGGATTGTGTTTTGGTTTTTTAGAACTGGGTAAACGTGTCCAAGTCTGCGTTGTCTATACCATGAGTGCAGCCACACGCTAATTTGTATTTGGCTAACATTTTGTTGCCATAAAATCTAATGTAGCCTATTCCAACTATTGTTTTGCCGAGGTTTTTTGACCTGATTCGTCACTCTCCTGTGGATGAGTCTTGGGTTTAGGCCATAGATCTTGTTTTGTCATGCCCTCTAATTACAATTTAGGCACAGGGTACTCACTGTCCGTCGTTTTTAATTGGATCATGAACGTGTGGTGATATGTTTTCTTAATGTCGTCATAAAATTTGTTTCTTAATCTCCTCTCTTCCAATGTGGGAGGATATTATTCTCAACACCAACATGACAATGGAAGATTGACTTGCATTTGAATATCATAACCTTTAGGGAGCTGTGTTTTTTTTTTTTTTATTTTTTGTGTATTGATAAAGGTAATAAAAACTACACCAATATTGAACTGGCTAAGATTAGATGTAAAGCAGGTTTTAAAAGAGCAAAAATTACTCTGCTGGCTAAATGTATTTTGATATTGCATTGTAAGTTTTTAAGAGTTTTTGTTGCAATTTTTATATTTGGAGTGAGAGTATAACTTTACTTTTATGTGATTTAAGAATTTAAAGCATGTATAATGTAACTTTTATGAATGAATAATATGATGTTCATGAATTTTTAAAAATAATATTTATGTGTGTCTAGTTAATAAATAAGTTTAATAAAATATATAAATAATATAGATAATATATAATATAATATTTATATATTTTCAATTGAATGTTTATATATGGACATTGTATGATACATGTTTTATATAATTTTATTTTAATTAACTTTTAGATACATTGAACACGTATAAACATTATCTTAAAGATTCGTGAACATCATATTATGTATTCATGAATATTATGTTGTTGTATATATTTTGTATGACTTATATATTTTGACCTACAACTTCGCCTATGTTTATAGTCGGTCCTAAACTCGGGTAAAGGAGGAGGATTGTGTTAGGCTATCAACAGTCAATGTAAAACTTTGTTGAATTTATTATGAACATGGATAATAGACGTTATAATGTTAATGCTAGGTCGTTGCTCGTAAGTAACGCGCTGCACGGCTCGAGTATAGTGATAAGTGAGTTAGAGCCGCTGCATCGGCGTCTGAATGTAGTGTTAAATGAGTAAGGGCTACCGCGTCATTCTGGACGCACGCGGCTAAAGAAGTTAGCCCATAAGAGCAAAATTAGATTTGGTACTTGGAATGTTAGGATATTAAATTGTAAATCTGTAGAGGTTATAGGGGTTATGATTCAAAGGAAAATCAATATTCTTTGCCTGCAAGAAACAAAATGGCGTGGAGAAGAAGCTAAAGATATTCAAGGTTTCAAACTTTGGTATACAGAAAAAGTAAGTGCACGCAATGGAGTAGGCATCATTATAGATAAGGAGTGGAAGAAGAGCGTTGTAGAAGTTAGCAGAATTGGAGACAGAATTATTTCCTTAAAAATGATAATTGGACGTGAGACTGTTAATATTGTTAGCGCTTATGCGCCGCAAGTCAGGACAGAAGCCAATTTTAAGGAATTATTTTGGGAGGATCTGGAGGGGTTGATTCGACACATACCACAGAATGAAAAGATTTTTATTGGAGGAGACTTTAATGGGCATGTCGGGAGAGAAACTGGTCAGTATGCGAGGGTACATGGTGGTTTTGGTTTTGGAGAGCTAAACAATGAAGGACAAACTCTTCTTGATTTTTCATTGGCGTATAATTTTAAAATTGCTAACACTTGTTTCAAAAAAAGAGATGAGCATCTCATCACTTACAAAAGTGGAGCCTCAAGGTCATAGATTGATTTTCTTTTGGTTAGGAACACATATAGAAGACTTTGTAAAAATTATAAGGTGATCCCCGGAGATGCTGTAACAATACAACATAGGGTCCTAGTCCTTGATGTGTGTATTATGAGTAAAATCCAAAAATGTCGACAAGTAGTAGCACCAAGGATTAGGTGGTGGCAATTAAAAGGTGAGAAGCAAGATATTTTCAAGCAAAATTTTTTGGATAAAGGAATTTGGGAATCTCAGGGAAGTGCTAACATCATATGGGAGGATATGGCTAAAAAGATACGGGAGGTTGCAAAAGTAGTTTTGGGAGAATCAAAAGGTTCTGGTCCGAGAGATAAGGAGTCTTGGTGGTGGAATAATAGTGTACAGGACAAAATCAAGTATAAGAAGAATTGTTTTAAAGCCATACATTTGTGTAACAATGAGGAAAATTGAGAGAGGTGCCGTATGGCTAAGAAGGAAACTAAGAGAGCTATGGGTGAAGCTCGTTCTAAAGCTTTTGAAGAATTTTATAAGAGCCTTGAGACAAAGGAAGGAGAGCGAAATATTTTTAAGATTGCCAAGAGAGGGAAAGAAAATCAAAAGATCTAGAACAGGTAAGGTGTATTAAGGATGAAGAGGGAAGAATTTTAGTTACAGATGATGAAATTAAAAATAGATGGGAGACTTACTTTTCTAAACTTTTCAATGATGGAGAAGATTCATCTAGTAACTTGAAGGATTTAGTAACTGGTAAAAGAGAACAAAATTTGTCATTCTATCGAATAATACGTGATAAGGAGGTAAAGGAAGCTCTTAAGAAAATAGCAAATGGTAGAGCCAACGGACTTGATTGTATATCTATCGAAGCGTGAAAATGTTTAGGTAAAGAAGGGGTGAGATGGTTAACTAAGTTATTTAATGTGATTTTACGGTCCAAGAAAATGCCTGATGAGTGGAGGAGAAGTACATTAATTCCTATTTATAAAAATAAAGGAGATATTCAGAATTGTACTAACTATAGAGGGATTAAACTCATGAGCCACACAATGAAATTGTGGGAGAAAGTAATTGAGCACAGGTTGAGATTGGAGACAAGTATTTCTGAGAATCAATTTGGTTTTATGCCAGGTAGATCAACTACAGAGGCAATTTATCTACTAAGGGGATTAATGAAAAAGTATCGTTGTAAAGATAAAGATCTACACGTGGTTTTTATTGATTTGGAAAAAGCTTATGACCGTATACCAAGAGAAGTGCTTTGGAAAGCGTTGGAAAAAAAAGGGAGTACGGATTGCTTATATTAAAGCCATACAAGATATGTATGAGGAGGTAAAAACTAATATAAGAACGCCTAGTGGTCAAACAAAGGATTTTCTATAAAGATTGGACTACATCAGGGATCATCTTTGAGTCCTTATTTGTTCAACTTGATCTTAAATATTTTGACGGAACATATTCAAGGGGAAATTTTGAAATGTATGCTCTTTGCGGATGATATAGTTCTTATAGCAGAGACAAGAGAAGAGGTTAATTGCAAACTTGAGTTATGGAAGAGGACATTGGAGTCGAAAGGTTTTCGTTTGAGTAGAAGTAAGACGGAATATTTATATTGTAAATTTGGTAAAGGACTATTCGATAATAATTTGGAAGTGAAATTGGGAGATCAAATTATACATCAAGTGGAAAAGTTTAGATATTTGAGAGCCATTATTTAAAATGATGGCGAAATCAGTGGAGATATTTCACATAGAATTCAAGCTGGGTGGTTTAATTGGAGAAAAGCTAAAGGAGTTATTTGCGACTGTAAGGTGCCTAATAAACTTAAAGAAAAGTTTTATCGCACTGCTATCAGACCGGCAATGTTATATAGTAGTGAATGCTAGGCTCTAACGGGACAGCAAGAGCAAAAAATTGGAGTAGCAGAGATGAGAATGTTACGATGGATGTTCGGACATACACGTAAAAATAAAATTCAAAATGAACACGTATGCAAAAAAGTGAGGGTGGCACCTATTGAGGAAAAATGGTAGAAAATAGGTTGAGATGGTTTAGGCATGTACAAAGAAGACCAAGGGAGGCACCAGTGAGAAGAGTAGAACATATAACTTTGAGTCCGATTAAGAGAAGTAGAGGAAGACCTAAGAAAACACTATTGGAAGTTGTTGAACGCAATCTCTTAATTAATAATATTCCTAAAAGCTTAATAAATGATAGAGCACAATGGCGTCTTGCAATCCATGTAGCCGACCCCACCTAGTGGGATAAAGGTTTGTTATTGTTGTTGTTGTTGTATATATTTTGACCTACATATCAAATGAATATGTGTGAATATTATATTGAAAATTCATAAACATCATGTTGTGTATTTATAAATATTATATTATATATGATTTGAGTTTTTAAATCACACAAAGATAAAATTATACTTTTATTTTTTAAAAAAATTGTAATAAAAGTTGAAGCCTGTTGAGCAATATCAAAATGTATTAAGTGTAAAAGTGAAATTTTTTGTTGTTTGAAGGGTGATTCACCCATTTTACTAAGACATGTGCCTATTTGTAGCTTGTACGATTATTTTTTTTCCCTATTCAATGTAAGGGTGTTCACGAGATGGGATGGGATCGGGACACCCTCATCCCGTGTCCTGTCCTGAAAAAAAGATTGTGATTGAATTTTGATCTCGTGTCCCGTCCCGTTAAGAGTCGGGATGAGATCGGGACAAGATCGAGACGTCCGCCGTTTCGATAAATGGAATAATGTCAAAAAAAATTTAGATAATAACGTTCATTAAAATTTTAAATCATATAATTTATTAAGTTTAAAATCAAAGCAACACAAGCACATAAATAACAATAATTTAAAATAATTATTGAATTATATTAATTATAACTACATATTATAATAACAAATACAAGTAATCTTTATACTATAAGATTAGCAACAACAAGCAAGTCAAACACAATATCAAATCATTATTTTTCTACTTTAGTGAAGATGTACTAAGCTAATTATTCTTCTAAAAATAAGCAAGAAATATGTTATAAATAAAAGTTATTAAATAGATAGATATAAGAATAAATTATATTAATATAATTAATATATTATAAAGAAAAATATCACCGTGTTTATTCTATACCATTAAAATTATTAATATAAAAAAAATTTAGTTTTAAATAAGAATTGTAAATATTAAAATTATAATTGATATACTTAATATAAGTATAAATTATATTAATATAATTAATATATTTAAAATAAAAAAATAATATATATAATATTC